AGAACTGACAATGAAGATATTGTTTTTATAATACAGGTAGTTCTCGAGTTACAACAATTCATTCAGTGACCATTCAAAGTTATGACAGTGCTGAAGGAAGGGACTTACACCTGGTCCTTGAAGTTCTAGCCATTGCAGCACGTGAACAAAATTGGGGTACTTGGCAACCAGTTCGCACTTACGATCGGTTGCAGTGCCCTAGGGTCACGTGATCACCATTTGAACCCTTCCCTGCCGGCTTCCCACAAGCAAAGTCAATGGGGAAGCCAGCAGGGGAGGTTGCAAGTCACAAATCTTCCTCACCCATCTAGGCCTTTCTTCACTCGCATGCACCGCGCCTCCTTCCCCCCTTCACTTGCACGCATGCACCCACCAGCACCCTCCTTCTAATAAGCGGTTTTAGGTAATGAAGGAAAAAGTTTTGGAAGCACTGCATTACACAGAGACGTAGCTCTTCGAGAAGTCCATAATGCTGGGAAAAGTAGAAGGAACAAGAAGAGGATGACCAGCAGCAAGATGGATAGACTCAATTACAGCAGCAATGGGTGCACTGGTGGAAAACTGAAGGTCCAGGTTGGGGAGAGATCATCTTGGAGAATATCTACCTATGTAGTTGCTAAGAGTCAACACTTATTTGATGACATATAATCAATCAATCGTGTTAAAAAGTCAACTTTCATGTGACTTTGAGGATGTAGTCTTTGCTTTAACCCACTGTCGACTGAGTGCTAAACTGTACAGAGAAAATTAAAAAATCTACTTTGCACTGGCATTTAATTTTAAGTTTTCTCCTCTCTGCACAAGAGATGACTAATGGAGATGACAAAGATTAGTCTCTTTACGTTATCAAAAAGCAGCCTTAAGATTCATTTGCATCAAGAACAAGAGGCATATTAATCCCACCTTCTTCTTAATTCCCACCCTTTTCCATAATAAAAATGTCTCCCCCACATAGAGGAGATTTACATGCTAACTACTATTTATCTACAAGGCACAACATGCATAAACCTCTTTTGAAAAAATATTAGTCTTTGGAGAAAATCAAGACAGAAACTTTAGTGAAGCAATTCACTGAGGTTCCTTTCACACAGAAGGGCAGCACTGATCTCGAATTAGTGTCACACCTTTATCAGCCCACATGCCATATGACTTTTCCTTGTAAGCTTAGGTGATTGACTTTTGGCTTAGCTGCCACTCCAGAGCAAGCTCCAAGAAGACAGAGTTGCAGCATTTTCTCTGGAGCTGCAGGACTGGCAGTTTCCCATCTGTTTTTTCTCCTAGCTGCAAAAGCAAGCAAAGCCAGGAAACTACTGGATGATGAGATTAAGTCAGCAC